AAAGGAGAGAGGAGAGAGAGAGAAAGGAGAGAGGAGAGAGAGAGAAAGGAGAGAGGAGAGAGAGAGAAAGGAGAGAGGAGAGAGGAGAGAGAGAAAGGAGAGAGGAGAGAGGAGAGAGGAGAGAGAGAAAGGAGAGAGGAGAGAGGAGAGAGAGAGAAAGGAGAGAGGAGAGAGAGAGAAAGGAGAGAGGAGAGAGAGAGAAAGGAGAGAGGAGAGAGAGAGAAAGGAGAGAGGAGAGAGAGAGAAAGGAGAGAGGAGAGAGAGAGAAAGGAGAGAGGAGAGAGAGAGAGAGAGAGAGAAGAGAGAGAGAGAGAGAGAGAAGAGAGAGAGAGAGAAAGAGAGAAGAGAGAAAGAGAGAAGAGAGAAAAAGAGAGAGAGAGAGAGAGAGAGAGAGAGAGAGAGAGAGAGAGAGAGAGAGAGAGAGAGAGAGAGAGAGAGAGAGAGAGAGAGAGAGAGAGAGAGAGAGAAAGGAGAGAGAGAGAGAAAGGAGAGAGAGAGAGAAAGGAGAGAGAGAGAGAGAGAGAGAAAGGAGAGAGAGAGAGAGAGAGAAAGGAGAGAGAGAGAGAGAAAGGAGAGAGAGAGAGTTATCCTTTATTTTTCTTATGGTTGTTCAAAGTCCTTGGCTCCTAGTCTCCAAAACTAGCTACTCCACTGCTTTTAGTGTATAAACTATACAAATAATACATACATACACACAAAACACATGTATTGTAAAGAAAAAATAATTAAAATAACCTGAAGATGTTGTATAATGAAAATAACCTCAGTGACTTAATGGTACTGAAAATAAATAATCTGCATAACTGATTCATTACTTAACAATAATAAAACCAGATTACTAAAAATAGAAAATCATCACCTATTTCCTCATTAACAGATCACTCCAACTGATAAGAATAAGAGTACATATAGTCCTTCAAAATACACCCAAAGCCAAGGTGAGCAAGTTTATGACATAAAACAATCACCTTCTTCCTATTATTCTGCAGCTAACAAACTAGAAAGCAAGAGAAGGAGAATGATCATAGTGGAAAATTTCAAAATCTTAAATGAATGGAAAGGCACCAAATTGTAATTTTCCTACATATGAAAATCACTCGGGCAGCTGTGTAAGAAGAGCTCTGTTATAGAAAATTAACGTGTACAGAGAGGCAGAGAGAGACAAGAGAGACAGAGTGAGCAAGCAAGAGAGAGGTAGAGAGAGAGAGATATAAGTACTAAGCAGAGTAGTTAATATGATTATAATTTGGATTACTCAAATTGAATTATTTCCTACATAATCAGTGTAAAACATGATTTTACTACTATTCATTTGCTCCCTTTTGCCTTTTCTTGTTATATCAAAATATCACACAATAAATTTCTTTTACTTTTTTGTGCTGTTTCTACCATGAAGATAATGATAACCTAAAAAAAAATTCTCAAGGGACTTTCCTATATCAGGAAGATTTTTTTTTTTTTTTTACCAAATTAATTAAAATTTTGTAATGTATCAGAAAATGAGAACCAAATATAAAAGAAAGTTAAGAAAATACAAAATAAATTTTAATTAGATAGGTTTCCTTAGAAACAATTATAGACTAATAATAATAATGAAAAAGAAGAGATACATGCTTAAAGGATAGTAACTTTAATCTTTTGCAAAACAGAGTAACAGTGTTCACATGGCTTCTCCACCTAACCATCATGTAAACCCTCTTGCGGCCATCACAGACTACTACTTTCACCCTTCAATCTATTTCCCCCTTCCCTTTGGACCCCCTTTCTCAAGCCATGAAGTCTCCTCCTGGCATGGCTGATCTACCTGTGACATTATTTAGTTTTTTCACTTTGTATTTTGTGTATAGGTAAACTTACATGATGTTTTACTGAATAAACTATGATGTATACTGTTATGGGTAATATGCACTACCTGGTGTATTTTGCTTTGCAGATGATATCTGGGATTGGACAGAATTCATTTGATTGAATTAAGCAGGAAATAACCCCAAGTTCATTTCTTAGTCATTGCAACCAAGATTTACCTGTTAAATTAGTATGTAACACATCACAGGTAGGCTTAGGTGCTGTGTTAGCTATGTTATGGAGGATGGCACTGAGAAACCTATTGCATATGGTTCTAAATCATTGAGTAAATCTGAGAAGAATTATTCTCAGATAGATAAAGAAGCATGAGTTTTAGTATATGGAGTAAAGAAGTTCCACATCTATCTTAATGGTAAGAAACAGTTCACGTTAGTTACTGATGATAAACCATCTTTGACTAATATGGGTCCAAAATGTGGATTACCAAAATTAGTAGCTGCTAGATTACACAGATGGTCAGTAGTACTTGCTGCATACAACTACGTCCTGGAGTATAGGTCTACCACGGATATGGGGATGCAGATGCATTCTCTTTTGCCAGTGGATAGGGCACCAAATGTTCAGGAAGTAGCTTGTGTTATGCTGATAGATGCTAATCGACTAAAAATTACTTTCCCGCAGATGACATCATACACAAGGAAATATCTATTACTCTCAAAGATATTGCAAGGGTTAATATCTAGTAAGGACACTCTGCTATCCCAGGCCGGGTTTAAATCTTTTGTAGATGCTTGGGGCGAGTTCTCGGTAAAGGTAGCATATTGAGAGGGGCAAGGGTAATAGTGCCTGCCAATCTCCGTAAGCAAGTGTTAGAAGAGTTAC